TGGTGCGGGGGTTGTGGGCTCCTCTGGGGTTGTCTCCTCTGGTGCGGGGGTTGTCTCCTCTGGTGCGGGGGTTGTGGGCTCTTCTGGGGTTGTCTCTTCTGGTGCGGGGGTTGTCTCCTCTGGTGCGGGGGTTGTCTCCTCTGGTGCGGGGGTTGTGGGCTCTTCTGGGGTTGTCTCCTCTGGTGCGGGGGTTGTAGGCTCCTCTGGGGTTGTCTCCTCTGGTGCGGGGGTTGTCTCCTCTGGTGCTGGGGTTGTGGGCTCCTCTGGGGTTGTCTCCTCTGGTGCGGGGGTTGTCTCCTCTGGCGCGGGGGTTGTGGGCTCTTCTGGGGTTGTCTCTTCTGGTGCGGGGGTTGTCTCCTCTGGTGCAGGGGTTGTCTCCTCTGGTGCGGGGGTTGTGGGCTCTTCTGGGGTTGTCTCCTCTGGTGCAGGGGTTGTGGGCTCCTCGGGGGTTGTCTCCTCTGGTGCTGGGGTTGTCTCCTCTGGTTTAGGAGTTGTAGGCTCCTCTGGGGTTGTCTCCTCTGGTGCGGGGGTTGTCTCTTCTGGTGCGGGGGTTGTCTCCTCTGGTGCGGGGGTTGTGGGCTCCTCTGGGGTTGTCTCTTCAGGCGTGGGGGTGCTGGGGGGCTCGGTCTCAGTTGCTTGTGCCTCAGTGGAGTCAGGGGTTGGGTCTTGTGTCGGGGGCAGGTCGGTCGGGTCCTCTTCATTCAGTGGTTCCTCTGTGGCATCAGCGGTCACATCTTCTGTCGTATCCGGAGTTGGAGGGTCAGCTTCGGTCGCCGGTTCCTCTGTGGCCTCGGGGGTTATATCCTCTACCTTTGGGGTTGTGGGACTGTCTTCCTTGGTAGGTGGTTCCTCTGTGGCTCCAAGGGTTGTCTCTGCTGGTTCTGTAGTTGGAGCAGGTGTGGTCACTTGGATTTCAGGATCTACAAAACAAATGCAAATTCCGTTCAGCCATTGGAATTGCCGTGCAGGTCGGTATTACATACAAACATGTTATACCCATTAACTATGGATGCTTCCTTTGGAATTGGAAGATCTTTTTTGAATGGCCAAACTAACCTGGACTGAGCAAAATGCGAGTTCCTTTTGTTTGCATGGGATTTTGCAGCAGCTTAGCTCAGTTTTGGCTGATCCCTTTTGGCCAAGCTGGTGCTGCCCCAGGTTCAGGGTTTAGTTTGTGCTTGTAGGTGAGGCTGCCTGGGATTTCCTGCCACTTTCCAAAATGGAAAGGATGCCACTACATAAAATAGTCCTTCTAAGAAAACACTTCCCTTCTCAGTCTTAGTTTGATTTATTCCCTTACCCTACATTATAACTTAGCCTGTACCAACAACCTGGAACTGGAGGCAAGAGGTAGGGAAGCAGGAGGAAAAATAATTCCAGAACACAGAGCCCTGACCATATCTCCTGCTGTATCTTTATTCCTTGGGTTGTTTTCCTCATTGTGATGTATGGATTTAAGCCTCTCTTTACCTGTATTTATAGTTATATTCATTTGAGTCAAATTATTGGTATTCAACCAAAAGAACAGCAAATGCTTCAGCATTTCTGCAATCTCTCCCTAAGTATCCTCTCTCCGAGATTTTGCAGTTTAGTTCTGCTTTCACCAGTGTTGTGTGTTTAGTATGAGCCAAGTATTGCAGAACAGGTTTCACTCTTATCCCATGCATCTGAAAATCATAAGCAAGCTGGGATTATGTTAATGTTTATTTGAATTTCCTTAATTTTCTGTCATTTGACCCACTACATTGTTTTTGGTTTATTTGGGTTTGGTTTGTTGTTTTTTTTTTTTTAATAGGAAATATTAACAGCAGAAAATAAGTACTCCAAATCTAAAACAAAAAGAAAAAGAGAGGGGGAAGATTAAAATACTGACAGACTTCTAGTGTCTTTTCAACTGTGTTTCAAGTTTAAACTTGTCTCTTATCACTTCAAATGCTGGAACGCAGTACCAAAGAATACAGGAAAGCAGCATGTTTTCCAGTCAGAATAAATAAATGAGATGTTGTCTGAAGCAGTGTAAGGCCTGGCTTGATTAAAGCCAGAGGAACCTTGCTGTGCTGTGCTTACTGTGCTGCCAGTTCACCACTGTCCCACCCTTCCTGTTCCACGGATGCTGTCCAAGACTGACAATGGTCTGTACCCTGTTTTTGGAGGATGTGTGTGAAAATCCAATAGGGACACAGGAGACATCACCACTGCATCATCTGTGCTGAGTGAACTCTCCAAAGTCCTGAGGGCTCAGTGAGGTAATCAGTTTATAAACCAAGTGCTTCCAAGCTTGGTAACTGTCTGGTAATGTCTAGGTTAAAGTTTCTATTTCCAGAACAGAGAAATGGTCTTGAATGTTCCTTCAGGTAACACCCATTCTGGTGCATCCATATACTTGCTTACCTTCCACAGCTTCCTCTGGTAACTCTTCCTCATCTGTGGAGGACCTTTTTGATTTGTTGTCTGGAGGAGTCTCTGGGGTTGGCTTTTCTGTGTGTGCTGAAAGAGAGAAGTGCTCCCATTAACAGATTATTTTATCTTTATAGGTGCTTGGTGTCAACTGTATAAGAGTGATTAAAAATTTTAGTGACTATCTTCCATTTAAAAGTATGTTTCTTTTTATCTATAGGATTCTTTGCACCATTATTTGTGTGAAAATGAGCAAAAATACCCTTTGGATCCTGAAGTGTTTCATCACAGATGGGAGCAGTATTTTTCCCAGAAGTTCGAGGTCAGGCATTATAAGCTAATGGCAATTTTCAGGTGGGAAAATAGACGAATTCTGAGTGGAGCTCTAAGTTCTGAAAATTTGTCTTTTTTTTCACTACAGATGACTTCACTACTTGACTTTCACTACAGATAACTAACTTCAGTGGAAATAGGAGAGCTGTCACATTAGCCAAGAATTTACTTTGATAATCCCTTTCAGTTCTTCAGATGTGATAATTCTACATAAGTGATTTAAAAGAAATGGTTTTCTTGAAGGAGACATGAGCTACAAAGCAGTCATGAACCAAGGAAATAACATGGGTATTAAGCTAACCTCTAGTAGGCTGAGTTTTAGGACAAATAGGAGGTTGTGTTCAGATTTTCCAGCTCTGAAGAGTGAATTTCAATTGCATCCAGTAAGAGCCAGATAATATCTTGTAATTAATTGTTGGTCAAATTGTACAATTGGAAATGAGCAACTAGCATAGCCTTGTAGAAGGAGCTTGTTAGTTGTGAAGAAAATGTGATGGAGCCCAGGGAACTGGCCAAATTACTTTGATCCAACCAAGGGAGCTGGTAACTGCCAGAGATGTGTGTAATCAGCTTTTTACAAAAGGAATGGAATTTTTGTCTCCAAGGGATGACCATAGTGTCAAAAGATTTACTTTCACAGTGAGCTAGTGCAAGGAAGGCTGGGTATTGCACTATATCCTGAAACTTTTATTGAGGAAGAGAGAGTAATTGTTGTTGTTGAAGCTGAATTACTCCTTTGAAAGCCAATTGTTGGGGAGGAGAACATTTTGGTTATGTGTGTACATGTATTCAGGGAATAAAGTGCTTCTGGAGGACAGGGAAGATAACAGTGGGCTCTGGATATACATTGTACACTTGGCTTTACTATACAGAAAAAATGTTCAGAGGATGCTGAAACAGCAAATTTAATCCAAGAGGTTTCACAGATTTCTCATTTATTCAAACATAGTGTAAATAGTAAAATACTGAGTACATTGGTTTGGGGGATTTCTGCTGGATTTTTTGACAAAAATTGATAGCCAAGTTTAGTACAATACAGAAGAAAACCCTTATGAATGGTTGATTAATTCTTCATTATATTTTAACTGAAGAAGTGAAAGAGTTTAATAGTGTTTTGTGAGTATTTGGGTGTGAAAAACTCAACAGAAAGAGAGAAATATTAAGCAGCCTCAAAAGCAGCAAATTCACCTCAATATGCTTCCAAGACACATCCCTAGACATTCAGCCAAAAATGCTGAATACAGACTCTATTTCAGTCTGAATTACTGTGCAATTGTGTGGCAAAGCCAAGCCACTATCCCAGCTCTTGGGGAACACTTGGGAGAAGAGAACCAAGTGATAACAGGTTGTATGTTACACTGCAGGCTTTGGGAATTGGCTGCCTTGGAGGTGAGGCTGCTCTGTGGATGCAGCGACCTAGTGCCAAGCCACATTTGTCAAGTGTGTTGACAGAAATTAATTTAGGTCTGTAGGTACCAGAAAGTTTAAGGACAAGATGAAATTAAACATATTGTGTTGTTTTTTAGAGTTCATTTGCTGGTATCCTTAAAGCTACATGAGGGCAGGACTGCACCTCCACATCTGTGCCTTTGTGCTCAGCTGAAATCCCACCAGGCTCTGCAGAAAAGGACAGAACAAGAGAAGTGACTGCAGGTCAGTTTGATTCTGCCCTGGACTGAACTTGCAGACTAAAGGTAAAATGTGTGTTTTCTTAAATTTTCTTGCTACAGTGTGAACATGTAACATCCAGTTCCTCCCTCCTGCCTCACAGGATGAGTTTCTGTGTTGGGTTGCTTTTCCCACGTTGGATTTGAGATGGAGAGAATCTAGGATGTGCATCTCTAATATGCTGCCAGTGACTGTGGTGACCCCAAGCAAGTGGTCTGGAGGTCCAGGTAGTGCTATCCCAAGGCACAGAGTAGCCATTCCCCACTTTTGGATGGGTGGGGATTTTCAAATTTTATAAGTTTGAATCTTCCACCTTGTTTTTATAAGATGAACTCAGCTTTTTACTGCAATTCATTTATTCATCTGCCTAGTGGAAAAGGCCCTGGGGGTGCTGGTGACAGTGGCTGAATGTGAACCAGCTGTGCCCAGGTAGACCAGAGGCCAATGGCCCCTGGGCTGTGGCAGCCCTGGTGTGGCCACAGGCCCCGGGCAGTGGCTGTGCCCTGGGCTGGCACTGCTGAGGGACCTTGAGTAGTGGTGGAGTCCCCATCCCTGGAGGGATTTAAAAGCTGTGTGAATGTGGTACTTGGGGACATGTTTTAGTGGTGGCCTTGGCAGTGCTAGGGGAACGGTTGGATACAATGATCTCAAAAGGTTTTTTCAAACAAAACTGTTCTGATTCCCCAGCTTCTCTCATTGAATTCTATTATTGATGTGCAGACCTTGTCCTTACATGTGGTATTCTGAGTAAGGGCTCTGACAGAGCATGGCTAGTGCCAAAAGAGCCCAATGTAAAATACAACTTTGCCCTCAGAATTCACATCTTGGTGATGGCTTCCAGGATATCTAGCTGTATGTTTCTGCCAAGTGTTCATGGTTGAGAAATTGGCCAATTTGTTTGTGAAATTCGGTTTTGTCATTTTTGTTCTGTTTTCTTTTGTCCAGCTGTTACCGAAGCCCGCACAGTTTTGTTGATGGCAAAGCACCTCTGTTTAAATACACCTTTGAAAAACACGGAGAAACGTCTTACCCTCTTTGCAGTGCTTGGCGTAGTCTGGGCAGCATTTGCCGTATCGCTCGCAGTCGGCATCGCAGTCGCACTCCCTTCCCCTCTCGAAGGCTTCAAAGCAGCGTCCCTCGCAGGAGGCGGCTGTGGAGGCACAGCAGCACAGTCAGCCCTGGGGCCGGCCCACGTGGAACGCTGGGACCTCTCTACAGTGAAGTCGTTTGCTCGAGATGCTGCCAAGAGCAGCCCCATAAAATCAGGTGTTTATGCCGGTCTGATCCAGGATTTGCCTGTGAGTGTGGGGTTTGGATCAGGCAGTGCTGCCAGAAGGGCCCTGTGCCGTGGCAGGGAATCGAGACCATTGGGTTGACAGTGCAATAACACGCGGCTGCCGCATTCACTTTAGCCAGGTCCCACCGTAGGAGGCTTCTGCTCCCCCAGCCACAGAGCAGGCATCTCAACAGCCATATTTAAATTCTGGGCTGGGTTTGCAGGAAGGTGCTCACCAGGGTCTCCCTTTGCAGTAAGAATGAGGTGTCTACCAAAGCATTTCTGAAAAATGATTGGCCTAATTGGGTCACAACTGAGTGTACCTAGTGTGTCCAGGCAAACCTAATTTTATGAACGAGTTAAACACGTTACCCCAAGAGACCAGTTTGGAACTGTTTAATACAGTTCTTAAATTATTAGTACTAAAAGACTATATACCATGCTTTGACAAGATTAATAACCACATGATATTAATATTTAATTTTCAGTTAACTTCTGAAACTTCACTGGCCAAACTGCTATTTTATATCAAATAATTACCATATTGAGTTAGAAAGAGTGTGCACAGCTGTTACAGGCTTGAGAAAAACCACTTTCTCTATGTAAATCTCTATTGAAGTTGTTGTCTCTGTAGCACACAAGACATTAAATCATGTTTTACAGTTAAATCACTACCTAGAAAAATTAGAATTACTGTATAGGCAGATTCTGAACATCTTTGGATTAGTGTAGTTGTGGAATCAGTGTTAATGCCAGTTGGTCCATCCCACATGCACAGGTGAGAATTATTTTTATTATCTTAGGGAAATATTTATTCATAAATAATGTCTGGCATTTCTGTCATTTAGTCAGTGTTGATTCCACACTAACTGGACAACAGTCCTTAGCCAGACTGCCTGCATCCTTTCAGGATGGCATCTACTGTGCTTGCCTGGACTCACTGATTTAGAGTAGAACAGGGAAGGCTTCCTCTAGCCTTAAACTTTTGGTTAACTATTGTGTAGAAGCCAGAATACCTTTAGAATCTGACCCACAATGAATAAATAGCCTACATAATTAAAATGCCTCACTCTGCATCTTCGGCTGTGGGAAATGCTGATGTCCCCCCACAAAGCAAAATGAGGATGGGGAAGACTGAAGGGTAAAGTGTCCCCAGTGTGTGTCAGGGACAGCAGAACTGGAATTTTAGGGAATGCTAGGTCTGCATTTTGAACAACACTCAGTGGTGTTGGTGGTTCTGAGAAGTATTTGTTACTCCTGTGATCCTACTGGAACCACAGTGTAGCTACTCTTATCCAAATCACTGACATTTCTGACATTGGTGATTCCTTAGAAAATGCTTTTAATGCTCAGTAAAGCAGTTTGAAAAACCTGTGTTTATTTACACTGTACAGTTTTGCCTATAAATAAAGCATAAATTAATACTCATCCAACAACCTTTTTCAGCAGACTCTGGACATGGTTCTGATCCAGAGTCAATTTTTATCCATGGAAGGACACCCTGGCTTTGGATTAGACCCCACAGCATCCATACTTAAATTTGAGTTAGAATATGTCAGAATTTCTCTCTGCAAAGCCCTGAATCGGCTTTTACTACTTTTTTCTTTGTATAAGAGACAGACATATACAGTACAAATGCGCTAAGGAGTTGAAAACAAACAGTAAACTGTTTTTGCCCATCTTGCCTAGTTCTGCTTTTGTAAAAAGCAAATTTTTTTGCTTGTCAATAACCTGTGGATATGCAATTTTCTTTGGATTGCAAGAGCTTATCCTGAGTATTTGAGGGGGACAATAATACACGTATAAGTGGAAACAAGGACACAGCGAACAAACAGACATTTAAGCATTCAGAGAGAAGACACTGGTGTGGTAGGGAGCTGGGAGGGGAATTTTGAGGAAAGGAACTGGCTGTGTTTGGAAACTTACCCACTGTGCAGACTTTCCTGAAGTCAGGGCAGCACTCCATGTAGTGGTGACACTTAAAATCACACTGGCAGCCATGCTCTCTAGAATACCCTGCCCCACATCTCCCTGTACAGCTCGATACATCTAAAATCGCACAACACTGGTGTAAGCATTGCCAAACTACAACGGTCCTTAAGGAAATGCTGAATGGAAAAGGACTAAAGTTTCTCTCTTTTTTTCCCCCTACAGAATGTGGTTTCTTCACTCGGTACTGCAGATGCTGAGGGCCTGGTGTGACCCCTCCTGAAGGTGTGGTGAGCAGAGGTTTGCTCTAAGCCAGCCTGAGGACCAGCAGCAGCATGTGTTCAGGTTTGAGGGGTCATCCACTGAGCTAACTTAACCTGTTTCTTCTGAAAACTAAGGAATCCTTGAGGATTGGTTCTGTAGTATGACCACAGGCATCCAAACTAGCCCCTTAGTATATCAGCTTTGCTGACTTAGTGTCTAATTGTATTCACCCTTTCTATGGTAATATGTGTGCATCTGCACACCCATACCTGACAGACTGCCTAGGTGTCTGATTTTTACTGTTGGTAATGCTGTTCCTAATAACCCATCTAATCAGGTTAGCTTGGAAACTGGAGAGCATTGCCATAATAAATACAGGCCCCTGAAGACATTTTTATTGTAAGTTTCAAAATCTGCCTGCTCCCTACACTATATTTTTTCCCTGATGTCAGGGAAGAATTTAGTATCAGCTCTAAGGTTAAGAACAGTTGGGATCTAGCCCTGCAACTCCTATGAAGTACAGTTTGTTAATCAGAAGATTACTTATTAGCAGACTAACAGAAAAGCTCATCCCACAATGGCTTTACTGCCAGACTGCTGAAAAATGCTGGATAATAAGAAATGGTGCAGATAGCAGGTGGTAAAGCAGGACATCAGGAGGTGTCTTGCTTTAACCTGTGAGCACTCCAGCTCAGCAGTGCTTGCTACCTTCTGCTGCCAAATCAGATATTCACCCTGCAACCCTCCCTTTCCTCTGTGAAATATCTGCTAACACAACTAGCTAACAGCTTCTTCTGGCAAATGAAACATGCAGGACCACAAGTGAAGCATCCCTAAATACAAACAAAGAAGCTGAACAATCAGCAATCTCAAACAGATAATCAGCTGAAACATTGAGGAACAACAAGGAAATAACATGTAACACAACACAACACCAAAGACAATTTCTAACAGCGCACATTCCACATCTGTGTGTCTGAAGGAAGAGCAAATAACAAATATTTGGGATAACAAATATTATATCTATTACCTATACTGTGATTTTCAGCCAGTACTTGTAATGGTTGTTACCACTTTGCTACAAATAGAAAAGAGGAACCAAGGGATAACTGGAGACATTAATGGACTTGAGTTACTGGGCTATTAATACAGCAGTTGAAAAGACAAGCTGGACATCTTCCTGTATGGATATATGCCCAATATATTGAACCCTTCTTCCTTTATGGAAAGAAAATAAGTCCAATAGTTATATAGTTAATATACAGTAGTCCAATACTTCTATCTCTTCATTCATTTGTTTGTTTTAAGTTTATGACTTGTAATTTATGGAGTTACTCATAAGGAAAATGCCTGAATGGTCCTGGTTGCTGTTGGCAAAAGTCTTGATTTTTGCTGAAACTGGTGGGAAGGCATCAGTTATCAAGGGGTCAGTGTAAGGTCAAATCTGGCATGTGGTGTGTTCTGAGGAGATGCTCAGATACATGACATTGTGCCTTCTGCTATCAAGTGGTAATAAATAATTTTCTTCCAGCAAGCAATAACTCAGCGTTATCCCCCTGAAAACTTGGGAGCTACCAGAGAACTGCAACAGCATAGGATTTGCCAGGTGGCATGTTCTGCTTCACCATAACAGTGTTACTTTAGTTAGGAATCAATTATAGAGCTTAGAGTATCATTAGACAAATAATTCCCCAAATTTGCTTCACTGGTGCAGTTAATGGGAAAGCCCTTAGCAAGGTAGAGACATTCCTTTTCCCGAGCTTATTGAAATTTTTCTAGCCAACCTTTGTGGATATTCTCATATTAGATTCTTCCTAAGTAAACCTGCAAATCACTAGGGCTAAATACATCAGTGTAAGGGCAAGAGGCTATGTAGATTGTCTACAGAAAAAGTAATAGGTTCATACACATTTTGCATTATATTTATATTTTTATGTTATTCCTCAAAAAATAGGATCATGCTACACTAAAATTTATTTTTGAAAATATTCGGTGATGATAAAATTGAAGACTATTTCCTGTCTGAATAAAGTTCTAGAACTTAGTAGTTTTATGAAGATGCATTTGAAATATTCTTAATGTGTGTCAGACACACTCCTAGACACCCTCCCTTCAGCTTTGTGTGTTACAGTACCTTGAGAAGACACTTCTGGAATCAAGGACAGTGAAAGGACCACCAAGGATAAGCAAAGTATGTTCCATATGATCATAACTTTCAGGTATGACATCATTCCTAAAAGAAATAATCTCACATCACTATCCACAATTCACTTAATTCATAATTTAAAAAATGCAGTGCATCTCTTTATATATGACTTGATTTTTAAAAAACCCATAAAATAAATAATAAAACTGTTCAAGGAAGAATTGCAAATTTATAATTACTCCATAAATTCCCTCTTGATTATTAGTAAGTTAGGCATTAAATGCTAAAGTAGGACTATAGAAATTTATTATTAACAAGTAATAGAAATAAATTTTGGCAGAATTCTATTACATGAAGACTACAGTCACAGTCGTCCTCTAACATGGGTGCATTTCAGCACAACAATGTTTGAAGTTATAATACTGATAAAAGAAAATCTATAATAAAACCAAATACTGACAGAACATTAGTTATGCATAAACATAATTTTATAAACCATAACCTAACATTGAAATATGTCAGGTGGAAACAGGCTAAAAGTAAATCTTCTTTCAAGAGGAAAACTCTAGGTTTTCTGTCCTAGTTCCTCGTTTTCCTATTGAAGAAGAGCTCTGGATAGAGCCAGGTGTAGCACTTACCTAGCAGAGAGTGTGTCTGCTCACAGGGCTGTTCCAGAGCCCTTATATATTGCTTTGGAACTGTGCTGGGGTCAGGTAATTAGGCAGCTTGTTAAACACACCACCAATGACAGCTCATGACAGCAAACTTTCCACAGGGCTTGGAAGAGGGCCCGGATGACTAGACTAACACAACATCTGGAAAATACTCCCATTAAGAAAAACTAAATAGGAACTTACTAGTCAAAACACATTTTGATTATTGAGAAAAATGAACAAATTGTCCTCAATACAGCTGGAAGGCATTAGAGAGCATTGCAGAGCAATAAAAAATCATTACAGGCAAATGCTGAGTGTATTTTCTTTCCTGTCAAATGGAGCTTAGGTGACAGTAGCCTGAAATTATGCAGTTTTATCTGCTACTGATGGTGTCTCTTCTCCAAAAAGTTGTGAGAGCTAATTCATACAGACAAAAGTAATTCTCCACTTGCACTGAATATTTTGTACTTTCCCGTGAACTGAATGGAAACTCTGCCAAGGCATTGGCTAGAAATCAAAGAATTGAGTCAAATCTCAAAGTTATTGAACATATGATATGTAAGACATCAAAAATGAATGAAAGAGCCCGTAATTGTTTTAATGGTCTTTGTGTTCATTGGTTCCAGATTCAGGATAGTGGAAATGGTCATTTGTAACTCTCAGAGCTAAAGGAGGTTTTAACTGAAACTTTTATAGTCTTAACTCTTGGGCTTTAGGAGGGATTTTTCATTCAGAAATTATACTAAAGGCCAGGGAACTTTAGTGCTTCTCCTTTATGTTATTACTTGAGTCCCAAAGTAGTTCTGTTAACCTAAAATAATAAATATGGTATAGTACACATTGATCTCAGTTGAGGAAGGGACTTCAAATGAGGAAGAGTCTCTTAAGGAAAATAATGCAGAACAGGAGTGGGTTTAAACGTGTCTGAATGTTTCCCTCACTTGGTTCATTGACTGTACAGCTTTAGTATTTTTATGCTAGAATTTCTAATTTCTGTATTATCACAATAGAGAGATTTTCATTCAGTCTTTCTGCATTGTGTGCAGATGGAATAACTATTTACTTCAATTAAATGGAATAACTATTACCCTACTTGGTGGAAAAGGGGAGACTGAGTTTTTATGGAGTTTATTCAAGGTCATACAAAAATACATGTATATTACATGTCTTATAATAAGTATCAGGGCTGTCTTTAGTGGACTATAAGTCTGATAAACAAACCCTGGCTTGGGTAGAGTGGTGCCTGTCTATGATTATTTGAAGCCTGGGGAAGAAGTACTTGTTAAGTAGCCAAATAGGATCAACATGATGAGAGGTTTCCTAGAAAAGTACTGAAATCCTTATATAATCCTTAATTCCTAATATTATAATATATTAATTATTATATTTATAATAGATTTTTATTTATAAATATATTTATATATAATAGATTTATATAATTATTATTATATTCCTAATATTATAATCCTTAAATCCTAATATAATCCTTGTATAATCCTTAATTAATTTATAATTTGATCAAGCAAAGCATTTAAGACTAAATTAACGATTGTATCCTTACATGGAGGAGATTTGTTGTCTTTTCCATCAATTCACAGCTGGTGCAGCTGTTGAGTCCCAGTTAATACTGGCTGGCTACCTTAGATAAATATATGTATATATTTATTTATATATTTATATATATATAAAATATATGTATGTGTGTGTATGAGTATATTTATGTATATGACTCAATAAAAAGAAACAGAAGATCAAAATTATTATCATTTTTCTGTTAACATGCCAGGGCTCAACTGAGTCATACAATTAGGTACATAACACACTTGAAATATAGGTAGTTATGACTGGCAGCTACATTGTGTTATGGATGTTCCTTTTGGTAGGATTGTATTGTTTCATTTCTCTTCTGAATTGAAGTTTTGGGGTTGTTAGAGGTCACATGGGGTTGCAAAGTTTGAGTGAAAAGAATTTCTTAAGTGGATCAACAGGCTGTAAGGGCAGCTAAGACACCTTTAAGCTGTAGTGTCCCTGTGGCATTGAGATGGGTTGTCAGACAACGCTCAGGTGAGGGTTGATCCTGGTCTTCCCTTTGTTTTTAGGCATGGATTTTGAAATGCTGCTTTAAATTATTGTTATGGATTCTCGTAGGTGGCAAGAAAAGCACTCAGGGCCCAGGTGCTGTGCCCAGGCTGGAGTGCCAGGGAAGGGCCCGGAGAGGAGGGAGGAGTTGCATAGGCAGGGGAGGGAGAGCTCTGTCCCAAACACAGATATAACGTAGGGAAGTACAAAATGTTCCATTTCTTTCTTTTGATTTCAGCTGCTTTTGGTGAAACAAGTCTCATTATATTCCTGATAAGTAAATAAGAATACGTGGCTTCACCAGCATTTTAATTTGTCTTAAAGCAGAACATGGGATCTAATACTGTGGTTAGTCACTCCAATCAAAAAGAGAGAATCTAATTTTTATCTTATTTTTGTTGCTTCACTTAGATATCAACTGTCATTTAATTTGGCAAGGCTTTCAGGCAACGTAAATCCTTCATCAAACCTTGGCATGTGTATCCAAAATCTTATCTGTACTTCCAACTTTCCTAGCAGATTGCATTTTTTTAAAAAAAGAGGCAAAAATATCCCCAACCTTTCCTTACAAACCTGCTTTGCCTCTGTACTACAATGATCCCAATTACAGCACAATTGCTGTTATTTTTTATTTCTGGATGAACAGATTCCTTGCACTGATGCTGTGGCCTGACAGTGCCTTTTCAGGCCTTGGCTTTTGGCTTTTCCACAAACTCATCTGTCAGTCACATTTATGATCTTGGTTTGGAGATGTGATCATATCCACTGGGATCACATGGAAAATATAAGTCAGTTAAATCCCAGACAACAGTTGTTGAGATGATCTGGGCCTGGTATGACAGAAGCCTTAATTATTTTTCATTTCCATCATTGATCCCCTTTGTAAACCCATCAAGATCCTCAAAATATCCTGTGATTTTCAGATGAACACTAAGTTACCCTGGGTGCTCTGAGTCCCTGTGAGGACTCAGGAAGAGCTGCTGGGGTGCCAGCAGGAGTGATACAAACTGAGCTGAGCAAGAGGGAAGCAAAAAGATAATTGGAGTAGTGTTGGCCTGTTAAATATTCACTGGTTAGTGAACCCTTAGCTCCTGTAAAAGGAATCATGGAAGGAATGTAATTGCAAGGCAAATGAGAGTGCTGGAAGTTTCACTAAAGTTACTAAGAAAAGTTATCAAGAACCACAGAAAACTTCTGGTCTTGCAGGAAGGACTGACAGACTTTCAGGGCTGGGGTCTTGGAGTGGCAAGGAGGGGAATGATGTGGAGGAGGTAGAAGCCTTCCTGTGGGAAACTCATGGGATTACGACTCTGGGAAAACTAATAACTGATCAAAGGTGTTTCCTTGGCTTGCCTTCTGCAGTCCTACAGTCTGTCACTTTCTTCCATGCACAACTGGCTACCTTTCACTGGCATTTTATCTGACTGTGGGGGAAAAAAATTAATTTGAAAGAGTACCTCTGGCTTTTAAGACAAAGGAATATTAACACCCTAACTTTTCCGTGGTTTACAAGTAGCAGTAGTACTGCAACGAATTCTGCTGCACCAAGGCTCAACATGCTCATGTACATCATCCAGCTGATGTAAATATAGTTTTATTGTATTTCCAATTCTGAAAAAGGTGAGAAAAATTTTTAAAGGTAGTAAGTGGAGAGGAAAATATGACTTAGATATTTCATTTGTTCTCACAGAAATCTCTGACAAGCCCATAATGATAGGTGGAAGATGGATAGATTCTGCAGGTTTGTGTTATTTTTATAATGTTTTTATAATACTACTAATATCAGTAGCAGAAATCTTTTTATTCCAGAAAAGCCTTTAAACTCAGTATAGCTGCAGACATTATGGAACGTCTTGAAGAGCAGGAGGAGGAAAAGCAGAAGCAGATTTGCTGGCTGGCTGTATCTGTGGATGTAATGGACTTTTCTGGAGCCTTGTCCATAAGAACATCACTTTATAGCTGTCATAATATTTCTCAGTGGGTCCTCATAAGTTTCTCTAAAATAATTTTCAAGGTTTTTATTCCAAAGCTAGAGCATGACTTTATCTGAGCTAGACTGGAATCTCATTTTATGTGGAATCTGTGCTCTGATTTATACAACAAAGTAGACTTAGTGGCAGAAAATTACTGGGAAAAATCTTTTGGGGAATGTCTGACAGAACAGGACCTCATTAAATAAGAAATGTTCAATTTCTCTTTCTTTTCCCCTACAGGAATTATTCCTCTCTGAACCTGGGCCTAATGAAATGATTATAGATTGGAATACAGAAAGCTGATAAAAGTGAGTACTGTTTCATAAAAAATGTCTCACAAAATGAAATATATTTCATATTGTTTGTTCTTTTATTCA